CTAGTTATAGAGAAATGGCATCGTTTTTTAGGGATTGATGAGATGAATTTAGGCCCGGACCGAAAAATCACCGGAAATTCGGACCGGGCCGAAAGTCCGGGCCGAAAATTCCCTGGACCGAAATTCATGTAACCCTGACAGAATCGAGACTGACGAACAGGAGTTCGACAACATCCGATCATAAGTTCTTTCATTTCTTCTGTTTCCACTTTGACGTCTTTGAAAGCACAAATACGGCGTCGAACGTTTTGGTGACCATCCACAATTAGACATTTTGAACAATGTTCACCACAAGAACTAATTAAAGTGCAGTGATTGGCCCATAAGTAAATGAAACAAGTTAGAAGACGTGGGAATTGTTCTCAGGCCCATTGACTAAAATCTTCTAAAGAACAAGAAATTGATACACAGGTATACCCATGGACAGATCAAGTTGACCGACAAATATTCATTTCATATTCCTCTGCAAGCAGAAGAAAGTCTATTTGAAAATCTTAATTTTGTTGATCAAGAATTAAATGAGCATTCCAATTATGTTAATATTCGTCATGAACAAGAAAACAAAAACTTAAGTAGTGCTGGCATTTCTGACATTGAAGAAAATATTAAATTGAATAATGTTAATATTTCTCATCAAGAACCACATAACTATTTGCAAAACTTCTTTTCTAGTCCAGCAGCTTGGCGAACGCGATCAAAATCTAAAACAGAAAATTTAATAGATCAAGAAATAGGTATGCTCCTTTTTATTTTATATTAATAATATATTAGAGTATGCATTTTATTTAGCTATGGCTAACAAAAATAATCTGCAAAATAGTATTAGTGAAACAAAGCGAAAATCTAAAAAACATGATAAACCAAAAAAAGCTTCAAATAAAAGACTTCGTAGATAAATGTTGTGCTGTTAATCTTCAAGTATATTATTCATCAAAATACCACCTTTGAACTGTTTCGTTTTGGTTGTCAATAATGTGATATTAAACAGTTAGATTTTTCCTATGAAAAATGTTTCTCACATTTGATTTATTATCTTGTTATTTGATGATGATTTCTCGGTCGAGTTTGTTTTATTTACTTACTTTCTCTAACCATATTTGTTACTTCTTAAGTTATGTCAGATATCGTGTAATAGCCAACTTCATTTTCGTTCTATTCTGCTTAGGTTAGTTACTGTTACCTTGTCTCCTTTGTTTGTTACCAAGATTTGAAAATAAAACTTCATACATACGTATGTTTTCTTTTGAATTTTCTTGATTCATAAATGACACCACTTTCGAGAGATTTCATGTTGCAAAAGTTTATTTTACTAACTAATTCATCGTTATTCCTGGTTATCTACATGATTTCGGTAATTATAGTTTTCAGATAAATTATTATGGTTTTGAGCGCTTTGGCTATAAGCGTAAGTCACCTTTTTTTCAAAATCAGTTAGTGTTCTATATTGTTAGTGTAAATAATTTAGCATCTCACATATGGTAAAGTTGACGATTTACCATTGGAATTACAAGTTTTGGTGAGTGTTTATACGCATTCGATCGAATATTGTTTGATTTGTGTAGGACATTCAACGATTAAATGGTAATGTTTGCGGCGCTTTTGTAACTCGTCTTAAGTTATCTGACGGCAAGAATTATTATGAAGGTTCTTATTACTGATTCAACAGTACCGAAATTATAATATTCGTTTAGGTTTCGTCATTGACGTCTCAATCTTGGAGTCACTATGTATAGCTGTATTCGCAATTGTTCGTATCGAGAAACTGATAATTTTGAAGCATTTGGAGGGAAAGTCAGTAAGGTTATTTTGTGCTAATTAAGTATCTTCCTTTAGATATGTTATACAAATCGTTCAAATGCACCTAATTTCTCAAGAGAATAAGTGTGTTGGTGAACTAGAGCCATGTTTATGGCAATCGACACAGACTTCGGCATCTATCACAGCTGAAAATATTTTGCATAATGCAGTCGAGTCTCCTGTACTGGAACACTTGCCTGTTGCACTTGAAGTGATTCCTAGTGGTCAACTGCCGGTTTTAATGTCAAAAACGTATGGCGTGTTAGATTTATTAACTAGTTAGTAATTTTTGCTTTTTCATCAAAACTGCTATAGATGGTAGAGACCTGTACGGAGTCGTTTTCGGAGTCGCTGTCGGAGTCGATTAAATTTTTTTGCCGAAAGTTTAGTTCTCTGATATTTAATGTATAAACTGATGCATTTTGGAGGTTCCAACGGCATCTTATCAAGGTCTATGAACATGAAAGAAAGTCGGAACTCTTTCATGTTCATAGACCTTGATAAGATGCCATTGGAACCTCCAAAATGCATCAGTTTATACATTAAATATCAGAGAACAAAACCTGCAAGTCCAAAGAGTTCTTATGCTAAAACTAAATTTTCAGCAAAAGATTTAATCGACTCCGATAGCGACTCCATGCAGGTCTCTAATAGGGAGTCGTGTTATTCGCAAAAGCGAACTATGCAAATTCGGAAATGCAAGTGGAAAGTTTTTCTTGTTCGATGTAGCTGATTTGTCATCTCAAATTCGATGCAAAGCCTTTAACAATATTAGTGACATGTTCTTTGAACTGATTGCTGTGGGCCAGGTTTGTTTACTTAATTATTTTTCATTAAACTTCGAAATTTACTTTAAAGGTTTACCATACGCATAATTTTGTTATAAATCGAACCAATAAGCAGTATAATCATTTATCCCATGATTTCAAAATAAGTTTAATGAAGAATTCTGTTATTAATCAAATTGCTGCTTATCTATTTCTAAATGTGAATATTGTCTTCAACGTTGTTAAAGTTTCTAGCATTTTGTTGAGCGACATTGGTAAAAGAGTCGGTTAGTAATAAACTATTGTACTGTAACAACTGTTAATATCATGCTACATACTTAGATCTATCTGTTACAATCAAATCAATCGGTGATTCTGACTTCATTTACGTGGCCAAGAAAAATAGTTAATCTCATAGACGCGTTGTTTTGGTTTCGGATGATAGTACAAATAGTAATATAGTATTTTGGGGTGATTTGGTCAGTGGAACATGCGATGTTGCTTCCCATAATATTCGTTTATTTTTTGTAGGCCAAAAACTTTTCTGCACAATGTTCGCAAAAAATTCAAATATTCGTTTAATTTCACGATTTCTCAATAAAATTAATAATAATAACAACAACCATGCAAGCTTTTGTCATGCTCTTCTTAGTGGTTGCAGCATTGATGAGCAATGGTGTCTATTCATTACCTGCAATCAATATTACAGATACTAAATTATCAAATCAAATGACTAAAACATTGAGCAAAGCTCTTTTAACTGAAGGTGAACAACAGCAACGACAATCTATTCGAGCTGATTCTCGAGGTAAGATAAAAAATAATGAAAGAGAAAAAGGACCTGAGATTTTTCTTTAGGTTTTTACTATCCATATCCATATCAAAATGTCAACTGGTATAATTTTCCTTATTTATGGCCTGCTGTCGCTGGTGGTCTTCTTGACTCCACAGCACCACTCGCTAGCGTTGGTGCTCAAATAGCTGGTTTAGATACGGGCGGATGCCCGACAGGTTTTTGTCCAATTGATGCTAGCTGCTCACAACTAGTTGGTCAATGGCAATGTGGATGTCGTATAAATAGCTGTATTGGAAGTAAGAGATTTATCTATTTATTTATTTATTTATTCATTTTTATTAGTTAATTGTAAATTACTAAATTTCGATAAGAGTGAAATTTCTTTTTCTCTTAATTTATGTTGAATATTTTCATTATGTTCAGATAGATATTCTTGTGAAACTTCGGCAAATATTTGTCGAATTTGTTCACGTGTTACATTTGGATATTGACGATTTATATTGTCAATCATTCCATTAAGATCAACATTTGTTTCTTCACTAGCCAGTGTTACAACTGATAATGATTCACGTGAAAGTTGATCAGGATCAGTTTCATTATTGAGTAATGGAGTTGGTGGAATTTGAAGAATTATTTCACGATAAATAGATAAAGGAAGAGCTTCTGTTAATGGATAAGGAAAAAGTGGTTCTTCGAATAAATGAAAATCGATCTAAGAACAACAAATAATACAAAACTTCTTTTCTTTTAATTTAGAGATAATTTTTACTATTCTATTTTCTTCAATTTTTTCAATTTGTTGAGGTTTTTCATCCAGTAATGTTTCATATAGATGTCGATGTTGAAAAATTATTTGAATAATATAATCAATTACTTTTGGATATTGTTGAGCATTAAACAAAACTGTTTTTTTATGATCATTTCCGCCCATTAGAATTGAACATGAATGAATAAATGCTTCATCTAATTTTGTAGAATTCATTTTATTTGTTCGTTCAATTTGACATAAAAGACCTTGAATTAATGTTACAACACAAACAATTTGTTTATGAGTATAAGTTGACCAATGTAATAAATCATTTAAAACTGAAGTATATAAATCAATAAGGGATTCATCACGAAATGTTTCACGTTTAAATATTTTTGAGTTTGAATGAAGAATATGATCGAGAACAAATTGTTCGAGTTGAACTGGAAGTGGAAAATTACCCTGATTATCATCAAATAATTGTTTTATTTGTTCAGTTGATATAAGCGAATGTGTAACGAAATCATTAATCGATTCAAATCGAAATAAATCAAGATCCGAAATACTGATAAACATTGTTTGATCTATGTTTGTGTATGTTGTTTTGCTGCCTATCAACAATTTTCTTTTCCTCCTTTCCTTTGTTGTCTACCAAGGCAACCGATTGGAGGTCGACAACATCTAAATGTCACTACTTATTTTTTGTTCTTTATTTTAGTTCAAAATACTTGCGGCATCTATGGTCGATATTATTTTCCTTATTATCCTGATGCACCACGATTCATTCAGTGAGATCAAACAGGTATTTTTTGGGATTCGTAAATGTTTACCAGGTACAATATTTGATCCTAAAATAGGTGTATGCAATTATCCACCTGTCATTGTCGAAACTGAAAAAAAATAAAAATATAATAAACTTTCAATACGAACACTTCTTTTTTTTTTCTTTGTTTTTTTTATTATTATAAATATAAAATGAGGAGTCATAGTTACGTATGGAAATGTCTTATTAATTAACTTATTCTATTCAAATAAAACACAATGAATTCCTTATTATGAATTGGGTATCATATCTGGTTACATTGTTTCTTTTAATCAAAATTTTCTTTCTTTTTATAACTATTTCTACGAATAGTTTTAGATTTTGATCGCGTTCGCCAAGCTACTGGACTAGAAAAAAAGTTTTGCAAATAGTTATGTGATTCTTGATGAGAAATATTAACATTATTCAATTTAATATTTTCTTCAGTATCAGAAATGCCAACACTACTTAAGTTTTTGTTTTCTTTTTCATGACGAATATTAACATAATTGGAATGCTCATTTAATTCTTGATCAACAAAATTAAGATTTTCAAATAGATTTTCTTCTGTTTGCAGAGGAATATGAGATGAATATTTGTTGAATTGATGTACATAAGATGACAATGTGGTGACAACGTTTTTTTCGATATCATTTTTAGCTGAGTGACTATTTTATGCTGTATGAATTAATGCTAAAAAAAGAACACAGCAACGAAAGACAAATTTTACAAAAAATATAAAATATCTTTATTAGTACAATGATTATTGGTAATGATCTATTTTAGAATTACTGATCTTTGGTAAGTTGATCAAAATGGTAAAATCACGAATACCATATTCTGGGCGTCTTAATAATTGAAATACATCCACTTGAACAGTTCCGATTGCTTCCAATGATATTAATTCATAGGATTTTCTGTATAATTCAATTGAAATAAGTTTTGCCTCATATGTGTATTCTGATAAAGTTGATAAAAATTCTTGTTCTCCATCAGTATCATTTTCAAGTGGTAATTTTTTAATATAACCACACGTAGTTCTGGATGCATTTTTAACACCACGCGGATAAATAGCTAACACATCTATATCAACTAGTTTGTTCATAACTTGTTTTAGAAGGCCACCACCTGAGTGATTATGAATAATTGTATATCAATGCAACTGTTTCATCGTAAAACAGAGACTGGGAAATAAAATCACAGCCGTTGCAACATTATTAAAATTGAATATATATCGTTGACGTTCTACAAAAATATACATAAAGAATTAAAAATTTTTTATCATTATTTTTTTTTAGTATTAGATAGCGTGTTTCTGTTATGCCATTTTCGTTTGTATTTTATTCCTCATATACAAAAATAAAAGAATTATTAGACCTTATTTCTTTTAGATGTTTTACAGCGCAAAAAACAAAATGAAAGCTTTTAATCGAATCAAGTATTTCAATAAGAAGAATCTATAAATTATGTTAAGAGTCGTAAACTCTTTATGTTGAATAAAAGATTGATCATCAGACGAACCTTTTTGTTGATCTGGTGAAAGTACGATAGCTTGTCGACCAATAGATGATACTTTTGGAGCATATGTACTATCGAACAACAAGATAAACTGACGCATATTACAAGATATCAAGTCGATTGCAGGGAGGGCAACATCTTTTGAAATTTGAAATGAATCAGGTTCATGCAATCGGAATTGACAAGGATATTTTAAATGAAAAAGATCTGAAATATTATTGATGAAATCACTATTAATAGTACCAGTTGGTGGAAAGTTCTGATAATGTTCTATGTAGTCTTGACAAATGTCAAAACCAATTTCAATTGTTTGTAAAAACTTTGCCATACGATACACGTGTTGCATTACCTTGCCTAAGCGGGCTGACAAACTTTCGTTAGTATTTCGTTTATCAAAACCTAAATTTACACTTATCATATTCATGGTTTAGCATTAAACAATTCTAATTCTTTGTTTGCATATATTGTCCCACATAATCATTTCATTTATCGCATCATCTTCAAACGAGAATATAAGGTTCTCGATAAATGACAAAATGATAACAAACTGATCGAGAGATGCAAATAAATCATTATCAATCTGCCGTTGTATCAATTTGTCAGGAATAACAGATCCATCAAGAGGCCAGAAGATAAATCGACCAATAGCTGGATCAAAACATGGACCACATTTCATACGAATAATCATATTGGAGATGATATCACCAGTTGAGCAACCCTAGCAAAAAATAAAATAAGGAGCGTAATTTATAGAGCAATGTATTCTAAAATCGATTTATTAAAATTATTTGTGATACTTTCAACACAAAGAAAATTAATGGTTGAATTTAGCATTATATGATAGCTACCACAACCTTCATTCTCAATGTTTTCCTATCCCTGAACTTCATTCACGCTATGACTGTTGCTGGTTATAAGAAATAGGCGTTAACTTTGTCCATATAGAGAGAAAATTGACAACAATAACTATAATATGCAATAATTATCGATTAATTCCTATGAATAGGTGAGTGATACAATATTATTTTAATATCGTATGTTTTGTAATAAATCAGATCCACGGAAAAAATAGACATACTAGAATATTTAATTTTGAACGTTTCACCGACACAGATCGATTGGCTAATTGCCTAATGTAGACGTGAGAAACACGATCGAATAATGTCATAACAAGAGCTAAAAAGAAAAAACGAAGTAGCAACTAAATAAAAAAAAGCCAACCTCAACAATTCATTTCGGCAGACGAACGACAGGTATTATTCGAGAGAAACAAGCCGACACCTGCAAATGTCATGCCGACTTCATCACAAATGATAGTACGACAACATTCGTCTAATCCTGACATTAATCCAGCTTTAGACATTTCATCCAAACTTGCATTAACTTGACTATCTACAGCAACTTGGCTTGTAGAGAGAGATTTTGTTGGTCGATGTAAAACAACAGTTTAGAGCATGTTATGTAATAACCTCGTTAAATCAGATTTTCCATATGCTAAATGACAGATTTTTACGAATATATGTGTTATATATTAAAATTTACACGATCGAGCTACAATCATATTGAACAAATTTGTTGGTATTTTATTACTAATGGAATTTGCACGCAGAACATACGAAAACTCTAACGTTGCAGTAACAAAATTAATAAACACAATACCCAAAGAATCAGGATGACTAGAATGAACATCAGCAAGTTCATTGATATACTTTTCTACTGGTGATGAGAACATAACATCTGGCCAGAATTTCAGCTGACTGGCGTTGTCAATATTACGACAAATGAAAGCCATTTCGAAATTTTTATACAAAATGTTTGGCTGATGATTTAGGACAAAATGATGTTTTTTTTAATTGTACCAACCGCTAGTATCGGATTTCATTATGATGAAAAGTATATAATTCTCCAATCATAACTCGCGTAAAACCTTTGATTTATTAATTCACAATGATATTATTTTCACCGCCTTCTGTTTGAAAAATAGTTTAGTATGGCACAAAATTATTAGAAAAAAAAACAATATGGCGTTGCTGCTAATGTACTAGTTTATAAAATCAGAACTCTGCCAGAATTCTGATGGGAAAACAAAATTCTAAGCAGAACTTTGATTTTCCAATAGACATAAGGGGATAAAATGAAGCACGTAAGTGTGCAAGAGAAAATAAAGCAATTAACAAAATTGTTGAATTCTGCCACTGCTGGAAATCCTTTACAAATTTATATATAATTAGATTTGAAACTACTTTTAAACATATTACAAAAACGATGAAAAGTAAGAAGAGTGGGTGTGGAGTGTGAGTTTAGAACTGAGTCGTTGTGTGATTGGGTTGTTTTCTATTCATCGACACCCACACCCAGTAGATGATATTTTTTAAAAATTAAAATTGAAGTTTTTCAATGACTACAAGATGATTTCATGTCATACTTTATTTGCAACTAACAGTTTGATGATGCTCTTCAATCTTAAACTACTTACGAAAAACAACAACATTTATATTTATTGAAATATTTTAGTTTGTATAAACTTCCATTATGCAAAAGTTATTTTTATTCACTTTTAGAATTTATTAATTTTTTTTGGTCACAATGATCACTAAATCCGATAAAAAATATCTGGTTAAATAGAAAAATAAAGGTTCTATTTAATCATATAAAAAATCCGACCTTTTGCTGAGATATAGTAAGCTGAAGAAAATTAGACAAAATAAGGGAATCATTCTGTACACCTCGAAAATCGTCTTCATTATTATAAGGCTATTTTAGCCTCATTAGAGATTGTACTGACAAGCCTTTCGATAAAACCATCTGAGTGATACGAAAAAAAAAACTCTCATATACTTAAATTGAAATAATTGTTTTTAAGTATGTAATTCATGTTTATTTGTTCCACAACAAGTAGAATGTCCGAAGAAATCCCCCACAGTTGCAGCCTTTGGTTTCTTCTACACTTGGTGAAAATAAACTTCCTGAATTCGAAAAACCCATATCCGCTAATTCATGAAGATCCATAATAATGTGAGGTAAGACTTGAAGCCAATATTCTTCAATCAATTGTTCTTTGGAGAATGATGCCTGTTCCGTTTCATTTATATGAATTAGAGAGTGTTCTTGTATTTGTCTTGATTCTTTTAAAAAACATGCTTTAATCATAGTCTGAATAATCTTTTTTTGATCATCTATATTGGTAGCAAATGAACCATTAAATAGAATCTGAGTGAGTGAATAGCCTCTCAAAAAATAAATATTTCGATCATAAAGCATTTTACTACAAAGTTGAATAGCATAATTGACTGTAGATGACTGATTATAATATATAAAACGAGTTAGTGTATTATTCATCAGTAGATAATCAATATTATTCCATTCTTGTTGTATATCATAAGCAAAATCTTGCAAAACAAAATAAATATCGTTTATACTAATACCACACAAATCAAATTCATTCTCATAATTTCTATCGTTAGTAGTCATTTGTAAATCGAGAAAATAATTCTTCCACTTTGTCCACCATTGATCATCTGTTTCGACTCTATATAATTGATAAAACAACTGATTTAATAAAGGATCAAATTTACTCGGTATGTAAACTGAAGTCATTCGATCAAAATGTGTCAATTGGATTTGATGAAATTCGTTAATCATTTCATTTGTTGCTTGAATAAGACGATAAAGTGTATCGTCAGGAGTAAATTGTGAAAAATGATAATAAAATTCCTTTGTTAATGATTCATTTCGATTGTTTATTGGATTTTCGAGACGATTACACATCATATCTAAATAGGTTTGATTACATTGTTCAAATAAATTGATATTTTCAATAAAATAATGTTCACATATTCCCGAACATAATTTCTTACGAAGATAAGATACAAACATTTGTCCTAACTTATTGACAATAATCTCTTCGTTCATTTCAGTTTTAAACATTTCATCAAAATCAATTTCTTCACACATCCAAAGAACAATTGTTTTAATAACATATGATTTTACGTATTGTTCATCTTTTTGATATAGACGCATATAATATATACTTCGTGCAATAGCATTTAACATTTGTTCAAATTTCGAACGACATTGAACAATTTTGGTTTCAATAACTGAGAAAGATAAACGAAATTCCTTGTCATTATTATCGGTTTTTTTGTGACCATTTTAGAATAAGATAAATACTAGTCGACTTAATCTGTTTGTACAATTTTGGACGATTTTGTTTAATACGTTCAAATGATGATAAACAAATTTTTGGTCAAAAAATTTAATTTTAATCCAATGACAACATCAAATTCTTCCAAATTGCTATATGCACTATTATATTTATGAGTACCTTCTTTTTTTACAACGTCTTTGTGCAACATATGTCGATATTTATGATAAAATTCAAGAATAATTGCGATCTTGTTGTTTAATTGAGACGGTAACGGTATACCGATAATTGCTAAATATAATGCTTCACGTATTCGGGTTATTACTTGCGAACGATGTTTTAAACTATTCAATAGCATATCAGACATTGTCGACATATTTAAAATATCTCGACTCCAACCAGTAAGAAATTCTGCTTCTTTTTTCTCCAATATTTTCGAACACATGGTTGAAAATAATTTCAAATTTCGATGAGCAATAACAAATTCATTCGGTTTCAACTTTCGATAATGATCGATTTTATCGAACATATTTTCATTGTATTCGCCGCCTCTATCTTGAATATAGATTGCCTATTCTCATTTATTTTCTCTTCTGATGACAGATAGAAAACGCATTTTTCAATCGATCACATCAATTCTTTTGAGTTTGATCTTCTTCAATTCCTTGTCTCATCTTTCTTTTTCTTTTTTGTCAGTATCATATCATATGAGTTCCTCAATTTCACTCCCAATCACGTATAGATTAACAGTTCGACAAAAGAGAGAGTTAGCTACGTCTTGTTATTGCAACACATCAGCAATGCATTAGTCATACTCTACAATTCGAAGTTTGTTGTTTCTTCTTTCCAATTCGATAATTTTCTTTTGTTCTTCGATTTTCGTATTTCATTTGTATATTTGTGTCGTAGGTAATGAAAGCATGTGTCGCAAATGCTGCTATTTTCATCGATCATAACGTCGAGTAAAATAAGCAGTCACGTTGTCATGCTTTGTTCTCTAGAAAAATGTGTGTACATCAATTCAACTTTTTATCGAACAAACTTTTCTGACTATCATTTGCATCAGCCGTGAAACATTGATTGATGTCATTAAGGAGAAATGACTCTCTTTACGAATATCTCTAATCAAGAAAGCATTCATTTCCGATAGAACAGGTTCATTTTCATGTGAAACAAACTGATTATGTTTTAATGAAATATTATTGCTTGCTCATCGATATTTTTGCCTCAGATTTATATTTTCCATTGTTTGTAATATCAACATTTGACATTTTGTGAAATATGATTGAAAATGAGTATTGAAATTTTAGAGCGAGAAAGTTGAACCCTTCCCAATAGTGGACAGAAAAAGGGACCCGAAGCAATTCTTTTAAAGGATTGCAGCTATTTACCTTAATATTTTGTGCACATATAACTGGCATTTCATACTGATTATCTGTTATTACCTAGCCTCTCTTACTAGAAAGACTCCTGTAATATGAAATTTTCGGCTTTCGAACACGGCGGATTTGCACAATAATAAGTAGTTGTTCCATTATAGTGGGTTTTAGCAAAAATGAGACAAGAGTTTTTTTTTTCATTTACACTATGCATTATATAAATCTACGATGGAACAATTACTCTTCAAGGGCCTGAAGCAGGTTATCATCAATAAATTGCTTCCAAGTTTTGTATCATTGCAGAAAAAAAGTAATAAGGATGCAAATTAATATTTCATATTATGGTTGTCATTCGATATTCATCTTAATGTGAGAATTGCCTAAATGTAAAATCTTAAGACTTTTAAACAAAAATTCCCTGTTTGATTATAGTGGAACACACATTTGCGTATATGTCAAACATCTTTAGAAAAAAATATATGTTTTAGTAGTTTATTACTTGGAAAAACTCTCTTGATCACAAATTATAAAAAACTTAGTGAGCTGCCGATGCATACAACTTAAAAGAACTAGAGTTTTTCATATAAGAAGGACAAATTAAAACATACTTGATGATCTAAAACTTTTAGAAAGCCACATAATATCTAATCACGATTGATCCTACAGTTGCATTTTCTTTTTCGATAATATTGATCATGTATGATCTGTTTGATCGACGTTAGTAACAAATAACATCTAAGCTCAATTAATAGTTTTAGCTAGATAAATGCTTATGTAGAAGACGCAGTTCGTTTCTTTTACTTTTATTTTTATGCATGAGATAACATTTTGAAAATGCACAGATGAGGATAAAAAAAATTTCCAAACCTGATTCAACAAATAAAGTAAATTCAAATGTTCAGGTTTGATATAAGTCTCGTTGTGACATGTAAATGAACTCACTGATCCTATAGAGTTGTCACAAACAATAACGAAATGATAGAAATACTTCTGGTCAGTTTATAGTATTTCGCGAGTTTCAGCAATGTTTCTCTGGTATGTTGTAAAAACTTTTTATAAATGAGGTGTGGGTGTGAATACGCATCATATCTTCACCCACATCCTTTCTTTATAATTCACACCGGAAAAAAAAACATATCAAATTAGGTTAGTTTTAGTGCTGCAGTCAAGCCTTATTAAAGTACACAGGTTATATTTAACTGGAACCGCTTGAAATTTCTCAAAATCTTTAAAATCTGCTATTTTTCTCCCTTGGCTAAATTGCACTTAAACATATGCACAAAACATCGTTGTGTGTAATATTTTATTACTCAACAGCTCCATTGATGACCGGAAGGATCCTTGTGATCACGATGGCTACCATTGTGAGACACATAAAAATGAATAAATTACGAGAGTATAATCGTTAGCTCAGGCGGAAAAGCATATATCCAGTCATTTCATCCTTTTTTGTATTCCGGCTTTTTACTACTTGGAGATTTCAGATCTAAAGAATAACATGTTACTCTATGGTTGCTTTCAATTGACAGAACTTAGTCCACTACACTAGTACGCATTTCCGATAGTAAAATAAACAATTGTTTTTCGTTTCTACACATTGAAACTTGTTGAAAGCTCATTTTACTCGAATATATCTCGTGATATATTTTGATCTTCATCCAAAATAGGAATCAATGTGACGATAAACAAATCACTCGATGTGTATGAATACCTATCATCACCTTGTTAGACTTCAAGCATAACTTTACTTCATCAATCATCATTAACGAATAGTACTATCTTGTCATTTGCATCCCATGAGTCCCAACTTAGCTATGAGATTAAATAAGTAGAAAAGTCAAGAAGACAGAGATAGAAGGCGAAAATAAGAGTCAGATGAAAGAAGAAATGAAAGATATAGGCATTTCTGATAACTAAAAATACAACAAACAGGAATATGGCTATTACACTATGATACATCTATCTGTTGATCAATACAAAAGTTAAAATTGTGAACGAGCAATTCTTCATAGATAGAACAACGGCAACGGACTCGGTTATTTTACATTTTGACTTGCGCACCTATTATGGCGAGCAACAAGTGACCTTTATTATAAGCGTTCAGAATTGAGTTCAAAATACTTCTATTCATGTGAATTGTATAAGAGCCATGATAATACTCGGTGGAAAGATTTGAATAAATTGATGAGTTTACATTACACAAATGCCACACTATGTAAGCGAAACTATCTAACATAACAAAGAACACAATTTCTCGATACCAGAAATAGAATGACAACTCTAACTATTCTTTGGTTGGTCACCAGAGTAGGAAAATAGGTCTATTATCACCAATTATTACATCAGATCAAATTATGCCACATGTCTTTAAGTTATTTTGACAAAATTCTTTGCTCAAATTTCAATATATTGAAGCAGAAAATTTACATACATTTTCCGCATGAGATTCAATGATACAACGAATGAAAATGAATTGAAAGCAGATGGCAAACCATTCTTTTGGTTCTAATAAAAAAAACTCGCAAACGATTTTGATCTGACTTAATTGAGTGAAACGGATCATCAAATAAGCTCACAAGAAAATCAAAACGAGCAAATAATCGAGTGAAGTTAGGCGAATTTCTCTCGCGATTTGAAAATATGAGAGAGATGATAGGATATATATGGGTGTCTGATGTCTTTCTCCTCTCTCTTTATTATTTAAATATTTAATCTAATTGATTGAGAGGTACTCTGACTAGTGCGAAGTATTTTTCACATTCAGAGAGTTAACAAATCATATGAGATTCTTTGCAAATTAATTGCTTAAAATTTAAGAATGAATCATGATGTAAATAAACCAATGTTGTCACTTCTTGCTCTACTCAAGATCGTGAGGAAAAATAAGCAAAATTCAATATTTTTTCCATAATCTTGGCATTATAAAATCTTGCAACAGATCTTACCAACATCTTGAATACAAATGTATCTCTTACGATTAAGAAATATGACAACAAGTTTCCTTTTAAACATTTTGACAAGATGTTTCATTAGAGTATAATGCTATTGATGAAAGAAAAGAAGTAGTGAAGAACGAAAACAAACCTTGGTGGATGTAATGTGAATCAACGCTAACATGAAAGACATCTGATAGAAACTCTAGAATGGTGTTAATAATGCGATTGAGTAAATTAAAAGATTGAGCAAAGAAAAACCTTGTACAATGATGCTTATAAATTTGCAGTGTTCTAATACTCGATACCTATTATTCTGAGTTTTGAGAAGTCAAAATTGATTTGACTAGGATTAATAGATAAATTATCTGTTGTAATAATCAAATAAAAATAGAATACTCACACGAATAACTTAAAATTAGAGAAAATAATGACTGTACGAGAAATCTATGCATATACAATCTACTGTAGCTTCATTCTATTTGAAATAGTTATTAACTAGTCTTATCCTATCTGAATCTCTAATACGTTACCCAAATCTATCTTACTCGTAAAACGTATTGACTAGCATTCTCAAAATATGTCTTTGGAAACTTTGATATGCACTTTTTTATGAAAAATATTGCACTTATGATGGCAAAGTTAACATACATAGTCATTGTATCAAGTTCATAGGTTTACTTTCGGTTTGATTTTTATTGACCTCGGTCTACTGAAGCCCATCTTGATCGTTTTCGACTTGAGTTTCTTTCCTATTCGGTCAATTTCGATCGATTTTCATTACGATTCCTTCTATTACAATCCTGATGCTTTAGTCAAATTATTTCGCTCTAGTACGAAGCACCGCTATTGTTTCTCTTATAAAAATTCAGCGAATGAAACTTCTAGGATTGAGCTCGTCATTTACTTTTCGTAAAGAATACGTCATTTTTTTTTAAATTGAAAGATAAGCATGCAAAAGAAAAAACAGACATTTTTTTATTGAAATGATATGTGTACGTCATGTTCAGCAAGTTAACTGGTATATAACTAAACTTGGGACTAAGTATCTATATTTTAAATAATTTTTTTATGTTCAATCCCTTATCTGACCGATTCAAGTTGGTGTTATATTCAATATCCGTATCAAGTCGAATTGTTGAGTATCTAAAATTTTGTTAGTTAGTTATTTACGGGAAGATGATATTAGGCGGAAATGTATTGCTTGCTTTTCTGAAAATCAATGATATAATGAAAAAGTTCAGTAGTTTATTTTGAATACTTAAATATCTAATAATATAATACATTTCCATATCAAACTAGTCTCATCGAGCAATCATGTCCAATGGAACCTGAATTACATTGGTACAAACCAAACTGAAAGTAGCCAGTTGGTATATATCGACCATGGCATGTGCTTGTACAATCGTTCTCACATTTTGGTTTAGTCTGATTGCCATCAAATTTTGCCCATACTTGCTCGATAAGTTTTGCTTTATCTTCGATCAATAGATCCGAAGAAAATCGTTCTTTTCTAAGTAATTCTTTCAATTTATTCATTTTCATTCGTGTAATCACTGGATTGTGAGGCACTGTTTTGAGCCATTCGTTTAATTTATCTATTTTTATTGTATCATTTTCCACTTGAATTGTCAAATGGCTGACAACTCGATATCGATGCATAGACATGATTAGATTTTTTTTGTTAATCTTTTTAAGATTTGTATATTCGAGATCATATAAATGTTAGACTCAAATAAAATTTTCATTTAAAAATCAAAACACAATCAAACATCTATGCATAGGCTGCACACATTGATTTTCTTGCATTGTACAGTAAAAATAAATTTTATAATTAAAAACATGATTACCTAATAAAACTTCGTTGAGATAAGTATATCCGAACTGATCGAAGATTGATTTTCGAATATATGACTCCATTATGTCACATTTAACATGACAACAAGGCATGGTAGCAAAAGCTGCGTGAAAATCATTGATCAACTCTAGTTGAGGTTCAAAGAGTGTGAGCTTGACGAATGACATTCGAACATATGTGTAATACATTGTATAATTATACTTGTAAATATTGTCGAACATCTATCTTGTCTCGTCAGATGAGCCAAAGCTGATACCTGAGCTCTCGCTTTTGCTTTAACTTTCTTTGTATTCATAGAATGTGCTGGTCTTTTCCGTCTTCGCACGCACTTCAGATGCCGGTATACAGATGACTTTTATTTTCAAAAAATTCAATAAAGAATGAAGTCGATATTTGAGAGAAGATGGTTTGTCTTACTTCAACATGTTCAGGCACAAGTTTAGTCAAACAAGAACCGATCGGTTGTTTGGTGTAGTTGAGTTTAAAGACAGAAGCACCAAATCCACTCATTACGCAATCACCCGAATAGCATACTAGGTGTCCATGTGATGGATTGTAATCAAGAGCAATCTTGTTGCTGTTTGGCGGCCAATTAGTTTTCACTTCATTATTTTTGAGATTAATAGATATCGTAGCCATCGGCAGTACCAAAACGAATAGATACAAGAATTTAATTTTGAACTTCATAACACTGAAAAACTACTACTTGACTCATGATAATATAAAGAATAAATAAGATGCAATACTTTATTAAATTCAAGTTCAAATATTTACTGATAGCATTTTTTAACTTAACATCGTTAATGAGGTCATACATATTTGTTTCACGTGTACAATGGAAGTTTGATAACATTGATGAATTCATTAAGATTTACACTAATTCAACTCTGCGTAATTGATGTTATTAGACGGAAGTACTGTTACTAAAAATACAGCTGAAAGCTTTTCTTCATCATATAAACTCTACAATCAACGAAGAAATCTCTCTTACTATTAATTGTATTGTTTGAAAGCAAGCTATTCGCATTTCGAATCATGGATGATTCAGAATGGGAAGAATTACAATATTAGATTGTTTATGAGAATGTTGGTTGCTATCTTGCTATACCACAAGCTAAGGAAGTTCATGGTATCAATTGGCTGCCTAATTCAAACAAAATTCGATATGAATACAATCCCGTGAGTAATATCATTGGAAAAAGATTCGGATGATTTGTTAATGTTAATACATACGAGGTGTTCCCGTCTGTTATACAGATGATTGTCATATAGGTGGATTTCGGCCGAAGTTTCTTCAAGTTGGACTACACAAATCAAGCAAAACTATTTGAAAATTTCATTGTAAAATGATGAAATTTTCAGTCAAGTAATAGCTTCTATTTTTAACGAGTTTCCATAGTTTTATCATTATGAGCAGTATACTCATTAATTTTTATCATTTTTTCTTTCATTTGTAGCTTGATTGTATTCCATCCACAGAAATACGCGAGAAAACACAGAAAATCTCCAGTCTCATAGAGTTAAAAGAGAGTATTGCACAAGGAATCAGCTGGAGCATTAGTGATGAAATCATTTTTTTAAACCCGAAGATCCCATCTATAGTTTCGTTTGCCTTTGGCTATGGCCAATCCCAACAGACCACGTACATGATGAATAACATCTAACTGGATGAATCGATCGTATATCATACATATGCTCGAATGTCCACCGTGACGCTGTCGTTATCTGAACCAAACCTTGAACTATCCGACCACTGGCACGTACACGCCAGTTGTGAAGAAATACATTCCGGACTATGTCATCAATTATTTTGGCTTTACCTATATCACTGAATTGTTGCTTGGTATGTGAATTTCCACATTTATCTTTCTGTCTAAAAAATAATTTCTAAGATGGAATTGCTCAAATGACAATGGTAATAAACCAGTCAGCGATCGCTCCGTTACAACAGGAAAGTATAACTGTCACGGAAATGGTTCAATTGTCTTTTAGCAAAATATTTCATTTTAACTACAATGAAAATGAAAGTGAGAACTCGAGTAACGTTCAGAATGTTTTTCATATTATTTTTTGAGCACATCTGAGAGCTTAAAAATTTCAACTGGTTCTTTTACATAACACATAATTCGATTAGAACAGCTCATTTAAGGTTTATTATTTCAGTAAATTTAGAAATGAGTCTGAATATATAGAAAATTCAAGTAACTAAATAATTCTCCTTGGTATATCTTTAAAAATCCAAATCATATGTAATAAATGAAAATTTGATGTAGATAGTGAGATATACAAGAACAACCAAAAGCTTAATGAATGGTTTCAGACTATTCCTAACAACCCAGTTATAATAAAGTTCATCATTCCATCCCTTTTTGACTTGATTACACCTGTACATTTTACCAATGACACTAGTATTCAAGAGAAAGCACGTTACATCATGAAAACACTCGAGTAGTACGCCAACAAGACATCTACAGTCTACTGCGAAAATCAATGTACAAATGCGGCACAGGGCATCTGTCAACCATTAGGAGCTTATGCTTATGGTTTATATGCATGTTGGAATGGATTTTCATGCATTGATTGTAGTCGTCCGCCTCCACCCACCACGACAGCGAACGCTCTAGTAGTCTAAACTAAAGCAATTGTATTAAGCAAGTTCAGGTATTGAAAGAAAAACTAAGACTATAAATTCAATGTACATTAATTTAGTTTAATTATAACCGATGTGATGAAACAATACACAATAAAAATGTCTTATTCAATGCACGGATTCGGTTGACAGGTGATAGTGCTCAAAAAATTAATGATCAAGTCATGCTTTTATTCGATACATTTACATTGACAGCAAAATGTCAGAAATAAGGTGAATTTTTCATTTGTTCAAATGATGTGTAGATAGCATGTATGGGTGTGGGTGCAGGGCATAGACATGAAAGATGTGGATTTGGAAGTGACTGTAGCTTTAGTTCTTTCTGAAGGATCTACATCTGAGTAAAGAGAAGACCTACACATACATTCACCATCACACTCTACGCTCAACCACATCCTTCTTGTTAGCAAGATCATATACGATCCTGTAAGAACCTCCAATGATAAATGGGGAGTAATATCTTGATCAAATTCCATACAATATATTAGGTGCTGATCAATTTATTCCTTATATAAGGAATTGCAAGAGAAATGTCAAGTATCTTTACAAAACCTGTTGATCTTATCATCCATATTCCTTAGCACAAAGATAACGAAAGAATTTTAAACAATCTTACGTGAATCTGATCTTCTTCTACAGATCGAGAATCTAAAAAGATCTTGACAAGAAAAGTCAAAGAGTCTATCGGAAAGACATTAGCAAATAGTTAGGTACTGTTAGGAAACTGGTTTATGCGAAAAATAAAATACAAGGGATCTATGCATCAGGATGTAGAGGATGAATGAAAAAAAGAGCTGCTCGTACTTCACACTCTCACGTATACCCACAACCTCATCCTCTTTCATTCTCAAGCGCCTCACGGTAATAAGAATTTTCTAGACAAATGAAATTATCGTAGTTAATATTACAATCTTTATTTTGTAACACATGACACACAACATACTAAATCAATTGAAACGTATAGAGCGTTACATATTTATCAAAAAAAAAAAGAGAATATTTTCATTTTTTTGTGCAAAGATAGTTAGACAAAAGGAATGACTAACTACAGTTAATATTAGTTGTTCAATGTGATGAATCATCTTGGTATGGTGAATATATCGCCTACTTCATTATTTGCAAGAATAATTCCACTACGACTACATAAGAGACAATGCTCTTCATTGAACTGCTTCCTATCCAAACATATGCATTTCCTGGACTATCATAATTTATTATTGCTTCTAAAGCTGGTTGAATATTAAAATAATCAGATTTATTTAATCGTATATCAATTGACTGCTTAACAAATTCTCTTGGATAATCACTACTGATTGAATTGATATATATTTCATATACATTCAAATTCAAAAAAGCACTTGTTGGTAGATAGTCAATGGACGAATTATTAACACCAACCAGATTGTAATATGTGACAATATTATTCCAACTGAATGCACCACCACCAGCATAACTTGAACTTTCAAATAAATCGTTTCCATCGTATCCACCACCAATACCGAAAATCTGATTAAAATTGGAACCAAATTTTAATTTCGATAGAAATAAACTGCAAGCACTACCACACGTACCATCTGTTAAAGCATAAATAGATTGAAAATATTTTGTATTAGTTGCATTTTTAATCCAAAATTTTCCTCCACCAAATACTTGTCCATCACAATTTATCGACCATTTCATTGAATATTCATCTGTTGAATTTCCTCTTGTATAATTCACATATGGTTCTATCCATTGCATGTTTGTAAATGAAAGACCAGTTCGTAAATCTAATATTGAATTTGGATAGAAATTAAATGCCATAGAAAATGATTTTAGTGGTTGAGTTATTCTAGCGTCTATTGGTTCATACAAGGCACTTAGATTAGAATATTCTGGAACTAAATAATTTAGTAAACTATAAGCTAGACAACTATGACCACCATGATTTCCGATTAAATCAATAATTAATGTTTTTCCAGTAGCCATTAAAAATATTTTTTTCACATCTTCCAAATTTTCTTCATCAAATGAAGCAAGTCTAATGATAGCAGTTTTTGTTCGCTTATGAGTATAATAATATATATTATTACCTCCCATAATAAAATCAAAGCTATCATTTTTTTTCTCTTGATACCAATTTAATTTTTCAGAATTACTCACATACGTAAAAACAGTTCTTTTATCAAAAGATGATGGTCCTGTAAAACGATTATCATTTTCTAAACTACTTTGATTGTCAAACTTTTTTGTAACTATCACTAGATAAGGAAATGTTAATGTTAATTCAACATTGTCAAATATGGTAAATGTTATATTATTGGCCGTTGGTAATGGATAATCTGCAAGATTTCGCAACCAAAATTCTTCTCTGAAAACAGAATTCAGTTTAGCAGTCTTATCTTTACTCATAAGTGAATGTTGTTCAGAAAATTGTTTCATATATTCTAATGCATTGACACCATCAATTTTTGTGATGATTTTATCATTATAATTCATATTGGCATTATTTCCAATCATTGAAGAATATAATTTAATACCTGTTTTAATTTTGATCTGTTTTGTTAGTGGTAAAAATTCTAGAATAAATGGTAGTAATAATTGAAATTCTGCATATCCTTTTGGCGCATTATATTGTGTATGAAAATCATTGAGCTTTTTAAAAGTATTTACAATAGACATGTGAAAATCATAATCATTTGTATACATATTTCTATTTGATTGATTCATGATATTTAATAACTCTTCTTGAAATCGAACATTTGTATAATAAGGATAATTACTTTGACGAACTAAACTAAAAAAACTATAAAAATCTAATGAGTTAAATAATTGTTTCATTGTTTCATTCATTGTAATGTTATTCACTGGTATGTTTTGAAAACAAAGTTTTACTTTGTCGACCGTTGTATAGATCCATGTCGATGGAAGATCTTGAATGGTTGAATTAAATGTACATAAATCAATATTAGCTTCGCTTCGAATAATATGAAGCAAAGAGATCAGTATAAAGAATAATTTTATTTTCATCGTTAAATAATATGACTTGAAAGATGGACGAGCTCCAGTCAATAGAACAATTTTGTTTTGTTTCGCTTCTGAATGTAATGATTGATTTTTACGGTGTTTAAATACTAAAATATGTGAGTAGAGTAAGAAAAAAAAATGTTTTTTACTTTTAGAATGTATTTACGAGTAAAATTTTCTTTCACGATCGTCACTTTGACCCTTTATTGCCATTGTAAGAAAGAATATCGAATTTCATCTACGTAATTTTTCTCGTTCTGACTGATACGCCCGCAAGAATCCTGAGCAATGCCATTCGAGTAGCATGCCGATCATGTAAAAAAATCATCCGATCAGCAAATTTCATTTACGTCAGAGTCAAATAAATAATTTCTAGGAACTTATTCGATTGACGTCAGATCTTATGTTCATATGAAAAGCAAATAAAACCATATAGAAACTAATTATGCATGATGCTCTTTAAAAGAATCGTATTAATGTCACGAAAAAAATATATGCCACTCAATCGCACCACCTACTCAAATGTACTTGCTTTTTTTCAATTGGAATTCAACGTAACGAAGCATTTGATCATGAGAGGCAAGCTGCTCTAAAAATGATTTTAGGTAAATAGTTTTGAGTTTTTTCTGTGCATTACGTATCAATAACGCCAAATTTATAATTTAAATCTCTGTTCTGTTTTATTATAGGATTTCTTTATTTGATATCAATTCAGTGTAATGACTAAAGAATATTCTAATAATAGGATGAATATAGATAAGAGTTTTCTCATTATTCATAGTAATATACCCACACCCTCGAATTAATTTCTTTTTCTTCATCCTTTTAGAAAAATAAAAAGAGATTTCAATAATCCTCACATATAAAAAAGTGCACAAGCAGTAATACAATTAATTGATATAGCTGCCATGGACGGATGAGTTGGCGAAAGTGTACATATGACTATTGTTGTAAGTTTGAGGCGAGATGCAACTTTTTTCCCCTTCACATTGGCGGTTACATCAACCCCATATTCTCTGACATCGCTATCAACTGACTTCATCAGTGTGTATTGATTTTTCTTTTATTTTATAAGTGGATTAATAAAACCTCCTTTCATCTTTCGCAATGGATGCATGAAGAGAAATCTATTCGAGAAGATGAGTGAGTGGGTGTACAAGTATGCGTAAAGAGAAAATCATCAATCTCAGTCACACACTTTCTGAGTAATCCAATATCAGATCAATTTTATCAAGAACCTCTAGTCTAGAGATTCAGAAGAATTCATGTCTACGGATGCTTCTTCTTCATCTATGTCAGTTTTAGTGAAGTTTTCAATAAACTATTGTGATTTCCATGGCATCACCTTCGAAATCAACTTTGCAATAAAAAGAGTTTTCAATTGGACTAGTTTATGGAGAATGCATCAGATTTTGTGGAACTAACATATGTTTTCAAAAATAATAGTAAACGTAAATTTTAAGTATAGAAAAAGATCGACTATCAAAAAAAAATTTCTGTTCGAAGTTTACAAATAAAAAATACAGAACGTCATCTGGCAATGATTCATCATTGGGAAAGAACTATAGTCTTTTAAAAATTTTATACTTTGCGTATTTCATATTAGTATTATGAAGTTCAATAAGACATGTGAGTTCCATATTTCAGTTCCAATGGGTGTGTACTAAAAAGCCTTTTCTAGAATCTTCTTATTTTTAGATACCAATATTGAAAATCTTTTAGACAAAAAAAAGAACAAACTTTGCTCAGGTATTTATATCTGGTACTTTTATTATGAACTAGTCCTATTGAGAAATTTATTGACAGCATCTCAGATCTGTAGTTTTATCAGTACTCGAAGGTTTTTGCCACGAACACGGAATCTATTAGAAATAAAAACCATATATTCATAACCAGCTTGTCAGATTCTATCAAACTATATACAAATTAATGTAATATAAAATCCATTGAAATCGTGTGCCATGTATATCTTAATACATATGAACACACACTCATGACAGTAGTTATTTAGGTAATAAAATGCATTATGTTGTACTATTGCTTCATAAACTTTATATGCGGTTTTGTAGCTTATCAAATTTCGGATTAAATAGTATATGATTTACAATTATTTATCTGATCTAAAATTCAAAGTAGTACCGAAAACGACCCTAATTGTAAAAGAATGGTGTTTTTTTCTTTAATGGCATTTACAAAATATGCGGAAGCTTTTGTTTTGGAAATCTGTCTGGCATGAAAGTTCCATTCTGCTCACAATACACAGAATTCAATGGTATATCTTTCTACTGTAACACGTTTTCTGTTACAAAGGATTTTATAATTGAAATTGTAGGTAAGATTTTTGACAAATAACTGTTGGACAGGTAAAAATGCACCTACTAGGCGAATCGGTATTTCCATAAGAATACTCATTCGATCGTTGAAAATGTTTCAGAGTATATAGAACTTTTGTTACTCTTACAGATTATATAAAAATCGAGTCAAAACCATTTGTTTGAAAAATTTTCGATATTCTGTACCTACGGGTAGCCAAAAATGTCACGTAACTTGTAAAAGCCATAAGTCTGTCAAAATGATTCGGTTTACTGGAAAAGTTGGACTTGGATGCAGTTTCATTTTCCTACTAAATGGCCGAAAAAAATATTTATGATGAGAAACATAGTCCTTTAAGTTTGTTTGTTTTAATTATAACTTAGTTTAAGTTTCGTCTAAGTTGTCTTTTTATCTCATCGAATACTGAACGAATTTCACAAGATTTTATTGCTCAGTTAAGTTCCATTTAAATACCAATCATAAGTTCAAAAATCAAATGAACATTATTAAAAAGTATAGGTGGATGTAGGTATGCTCGTATGTGATTCTGGTCAGAGTTGGAACCGGACGGATTTTTTCCATCCGATCCGGTCCGGTCCAGTTGAAATCCGGCCAGTTCATTTTTGACGTCAACCTGGCAAAAATCCGGCAAAAATTCGTCAAAAATCCGACTGGTTTATTAATTACGATCAAAAGCGACTACTACTAAATACAATCGAAGCTATGTATGTACAAGCGAATAAAAGTTGTTATCGTCGGAGAAAACTTTGAAATACAAGGATTAATTTACATATTATGAACTGGCAAAACTCCGGCTTCGTCCGGGCCGGTTTAATTTTTCATCCGGCCTTGTCCGGTCCAGCCGGACCGGTTCCAACTCTGATTCTGGTACATATGAAAACAGAGAGAATTCACGCTCACACTCGTTTATCCACATCCACCCAGTATAGAACTAGGGAAAACGGAGTTGGCATCGTTTAAGGGTTTCTCGAACAAATAGTCAGAAATGTCGAGTTTTCCAAAGCTTCATATATTAACTGATAGAGCAGTCATTGCTCTACAAAAATGATGAATGGCGCATGTCACTAGTGGATTCCATCCTTAAGTTATTCAAAAAATGGCCATGGTCATTTTTTTTCAAAGACAATAGTATGAAAATATTTTCATTTATCAAAAACACAAAATGAACATAAGAAAAAGACAACACAAAACGAAAGCTCCAAAGTTTATCCGCCAAATTTACAACCTGACCATGGCTGTAAGAAGAGACACCGTCATCGTCAATAATCTATACGAAATTAGCACGTAACGCCACTTTTAAAATGGCAGCATCAAAACAGAAGTTGCCATCGAAAAGGTAATGAATAGTTTTCAGTGTGAATTTATCCAATCACTTTGTTCACCCATTAACAGAAAGCATCTATCACTCGAGTATAACTGGACACTTAGAAGCATGAATAAAATTAAATATCACTTCATTCATCTATTTTCCGATGATCCAACCCAAAATCAGGTAACACCATTCATGCTTTGACGAGACGAGGAATTCAAATGAAATATAGAGTTCTTTTAAGTTTACAAATTACGAGTAACGTCAAAGAATAACACACTCGACATCCAAATGATTAAACAACATGCTCTCAGTGAATATACACGGCCAGACCTCGATACGGTAATTACCATCGAAAGACACAAGTAAATAGAAAGACGATTAAAACTAAACTATCATCATAACTGAATCGATGATATCACGATCACATAAGAGTTCAAAAGTACCTTCACCTAATCTCATCATGACCTATTCCAACTAAACAAATCCATAACACACAGAAAGTGTATATCCATCAAAAGCGAATTATTCGAAAGTAAAATTTCAATTAGATTATAAACTATATGTTTCTCGTGAACTTAATAGTGATATCGAATTCAAATGATACTCAGCATGAAACTATTCTAAAATAATGTTCCCTATGAATCAAAAACTGCATATTTTTGATGGATTTGATAATGATATCGAAATCAAATGATACTCATAATCAAATTATTTTTAAATCATGTTTCATTACAATTAGAAATCGCCTGTATTTGATAGGTTTCATAACAGCATCGTTATCAAATAACACTCAAAATGAAATAATTCCGAAATCATGTTTCATTTAAATCAGAAACTACATGTTTTTAATGAATTCGATACTGACACCGAAATCACATAATGCTCAAAATGCAATTATTCTGAAATCATGTTACAGTTGAATTAAAAATTCCCTGTTTTTTATGGATTTGATAATGACATTGAAATTAAATAATACTCATCATGAAATTATTTTGAAATCCGATTTCCATCAAATTAAAAATTATATGTTTTTGATAAATTTGATAATAACATCGAAATAAAATAATACTCACGATAAAATTATTCTAAAATCATATTTCGATTGAATTACAGATTCGATGTTGTTGTTAAATTTTAGAATGATATCGAAATCGAATAATACATAAAATGAAATTATTCTGAAATCAAGTTTCAATTAAATTAGAAATCGCATGTTTTTGATAAATTTAATAATAACATCGAAATCAAATAATATTCACGATGAAATTATTCTAAAATCATGTTTCGTTTGAATTAAAAATTACATGTTTTCGATAGTTTTGAATATGAGATTGAAATCGAATAATATTCATGATAA